TCAATTTTTAATATTTATCTCACCTTCGACTGATCACATTGTATATATAAATATAAACGTATACATAATACATATACATATACATAGATACGTATATTTAAATATATGTATATATATTATTGTGACCGTGTCTATAAAATTAATTGTGAAAGCAGAAGTAATTTAAACGAAAAAAAAAATATGCGTGTTCTTGGAACAAGTATTTTATAACATTTTGAAACGGCAAAGAATCGCAAACGTGATGCATTTCTTCATGAAAAAATTGAATTTACCTAATGGTTAGAATGAATCCACAAATGCTGGACTAATCGCGCAAGAAGAGAATTTGTATAAATGCGAAGATTGCGGTATTTGGAAGATAAAAAAAAGAAAGAAAAAAGCATTGTCTCCCTATACGAATAACAAATTCTACCGTTTGTATTCTATCGATACACTTCCATTTTTCTAAAGGCACAAATTTTATAAAGATCATGGAATAGCGTGACAAAATGAAATTGAAAACGAAATGAACGCAGTTCAAACACACTGCAGAGTGTTGTTTCAACGTGGTACTTTAATGTCACTAGTATTGCCGTTACTAGTCAAATAAAAGAGAAAAATTATTCGGTCATAATCGCTGTCTGTTGCTTTCATTTGGCAATACGATTGTTAGTATATCCACTGATTTGAAAGTGAAGTACGTCAATCTGTAATTTTTATAGAATACTAAGTTCTTATGAGATGGACTAAGAAAAATTTGTAACTCTGCGTTACACGCGGGAAACAGTATTAACAATTGAAAGCAAAAGGTGAGCAATGTATGAATAAATTACTTGTATCTCTCACTGTGTATTATCAGCACTATGTCTAATGCACATTCTTTCACCGAGAATGTGCTCGACATGAAAATCAGAGAAAACGCTGGAAACTTCATGAGTGAGGTTCAAGGAATGTTGAAAAAAAATCTCCAAATCATGCAGATGCATAAAAATAGGAAGAGTTACCACGTATCTTATGCAAATAATATCTGTGTGTCATTATTACATGCCAGTTCTAATAAAACATTGCCAATTATCTTTACTTTTGTACTTCTACTTATACACAAACAAAACAAAGCTTATAATTCATTGTATAATGGAATTGGTGAGCTTACACTTAATTCTAATCGAGAAACATAGATTTTGATTTCGTGAAAAGTTTCTTAAAACTCTTGTTCTCTTTAAAGTAAACCGAGGTAATCTACAAAAACACGAGCGATGTGAAATCTTTTAAGGGCAGGACGAACCTAATCTCAAGAGAATGCATTATTTTATTAAGATTACATTGTAGATGATTATATGTAATTGGAACAAAGTGATCGTTTTATCGTGTAGAAGAATAAGTATTATTTCTAGTCACCGTGAATACCCTTTATTGTTTATCGATGCAGCAAAATTTCATTTTATAGTTTTGAACAGTATTATTTGTAATCGTATTGAAATGCGCTGGTGTCTGTGTACCACATGTATTATAAAATAGAACTTTACATACATTTTATTGTGTATTTTATTACAATGCATTTTGTACAAACAACAAAAACGATACTCTATTTAAAAAATAGTATGTTCAATTCTAATGTTATACAACATAACACCCAAACTGAAAGAATTAAGAGTTTGATTCATCTGATTCCGCACATTGCATTACTCTGTCATCACTGTATGACATAAATATAAACTTCATTTTCCTGTGTTTCTAACAATTTCATACTTTTATTTTATGTAGTACTTCACTTCCGAAAAGCTAAGATCAGATGGCAACAACTTTTTTTTAAAAAGTATTATGTAGAACCTACCTGACAATGGTCACTCAATGTCAAACAGGATACCCATTCTCGCCTCCTTATCTGAACATTTTGAAAGATTTGCAAACAGGGCCTGAAAAAGAAATGAACGTCACTTCTGATTTATTTATGATAACAATTAATGAATTTATAATGTACTTTAACACCTCAGTTTCCAGGGTTATACATACCACAGTTCTGACTCACACTGCCAAGAACGGCTTATTAGGGAATGATCCAATGTACAGATAACATGTGCAGTATCATTTCCCTCGTACAGATGGAAATTGTATATAAGACCAACTAGAAGTCAATAATGGCATCAAGGGAGACCATCAGAGCTGTCCTAAAAAGCTTTAGTTTAATTTCAACTGGACGTGGCTCATTGATTATAGGTATTTCAGAGGCTTATCTCCAAAGGATAATCTATTCCTAGCTACAATCTGTGCCATCATAATCATGGATTCAGGAACCTGGAGTTTGGAATGCTGAATAAAGGATAATTAGCTACTGACATATGCAGACATTACAAGATGCCAGAATATGGGATTCTGAGTTGTATATTCCACGTTATCCAATTTTGGATAAACTGACTGATCGTTGCAAAAAGCACCTTCCTGAATGCTACATGCTATAGGCGAGGAAATACCATATTCGAGACAGGGTGTTTAATAACCTGGGTTCGAGAATTTCATATGATTTCTGGTAATCGTGCATCAATGACGCACATACGCGTCATTCGTACCCAAAATTAAGAAACCAAATTACGCATGTGTGCGTCATTCAGCGCGAATGCGTTAAATTGATTATTTAATTATAACTAAACTATCGTTTCTTATACAAATTTACATTTTTATCGTCAAAAATTATGAGGCTGAAGTAAAATGATTTATGAGGCTGAAGTGTTCTAAAGATTTATGAGCCACAAGTGTATAAGAATCCGCAGTCTAGCTATAATAATCGCATAACTTATCGAGAGACTGTTAAAAAATATATTTGCGTTAGGGTACACTGAATTGTGTTTTATTGTGTAATTTTTTTAAGTATTTAGAACAAGGTCACTATTAATTTGATGATGTATATTAATACTTCTGTAATATCACTTAATCCAATGAGGCATATCTACATTACATGACTCAAACCTGCATTGTATATTTATAAAAGTGTACAAAAAAAAAGGAAAATATTGAAAAGTATTAAATTCATAGAAATGTATAATACATAAAATTTAGAGAAAAGATATATGGAATATTTTAATGACTAATATTCAATACGGGTATACATAGGTTCGTACGTGTGTGGTTCTGTGCATAAAAGAGTATGTTTCCCACCCGCACATAGGAATTACGTACATATATACATAATAACCATCATCATATATGTACACTATATGTAAGTAGGCCTATTGTTATATTAGTTGCCATTTAAAAAATATTGTACAATATATTTAGATCGGTATAATTATATTAAATGGACTAAAATTATAACAAGTTTACTTTACCATTAAACCTGTCCACATAGACGATTAATATATGTGTATAGAGTGTATAAAAAAAAGGATATACTTCAAGATTGTAGTTCACAATTTCTTACAGCAAGCTTGATGTTTTTTAATTCTATCTGGATGGAATTTTCTCGTACAATTATTACATCCTACAAGTTGAGCCTGGTACTTCTCCCAATCGATTTCAGCTTGGTAGAATTCTAGTATGAGAAAATTGTAACATTTATTCAATCAATTGACTACAGCAAAGTTAAACTTATCTATATTGTATAGTATACAGTATATATACTATATAGTATAGTTTACCTTTGAGAAATGTGGATTCCTCTCCTGTCTTTCTACTAGTGTTACCAGAAACTGGTGTTCTTGGTATTTCATTTCTTGGTTTCATAGGATTAAAGCTATCCTAAAGAGATGAGAGAATATAGATATATATATGTGTACCTGCTGTATTATTTTAATAATTGTATAAATATAAATTACGTTAGATATTTCCGAAGATCCACTTTTATTGTGTTTTTGAATTTTAGAAGTCTCTGCTTCTTCTCGAGTAACTGACTTGGAAGTTTCATTTGACAAATGTTGTGCTATTTCCTTTTTATTATTTTCCATTGAAACATCCTTGATTTCTTTTTTAAGGATAAATATCTTAAGTAATGTATGAAATATTATTAATATATGAAAAAATAAGTTACTTACCCCCTGAATCAGAACTTGCATTATTTTTCTGTGCTTGTTTATCCCCATCTAAATGTTCCTTTCTTCTATTAGATCTTAAAGTTACCATACCATGTTCTATATTTTGAAGATATTTATTTGTCCGTTTATCTATATCTTTTAATATATCATCTGTTAAAGTTCCTATTTCATTAGAGCGAGATCTTCTCAAACCTTGTTCCTCTGTGTTCTTTTCCCTGTGATTTTTTTTCTCTTCATTTGAGGTGGATCTCTGTTTCCTTGTATTTGTATTATTTACTTCAAGACTGTTTTTTGAAAGTCTGCCTCTTCTTTTAGGATGTTTAGAGTTTTCTTTACTTTCCTCTTGCATCTCATCTTCTTCATCAGATCTAAATGTTAGCCTTTTAGAATTTCCAAACTGTAAAGTTGGAAGCTTATATTCTTCTATGTTAGGAGTTGAACTGTGGATTTTAGTATCTGGACTAAAAACACTTTTATGCGCAGTAACATTTTTAAAATTTTTGTTTATTATTTGTTTATCCTTCTTTACTTTCGCTGTTTCACTGTTTTCCAAATGTTCTTTATTTTGTTCTGAATTATTTTTCTCCTAAATCATTGGAACAATAATTATATGAAATATCGGACATATTATCAACTTTTTCAACATAGAAATCTATTTACCTGATTCTGACAATTTTTACATCTACATAGTTCACCACATGGCATATTCTTTTTTGCGCAACCACATAATTTGGAACTACAATTCTTCTTACAATTACATCCACGCATTGAAGCACTCTTCTTCCTTTCGCCTTGAGATTTTATATTTGTTCGTGTAGATTCAATAGGTTTAGGAGTCTCAGCTATATCATTAGAATGTGTGACAGTAATGGTTGGTGTGGTTTTCGAAATTGCTGTTACTTCTTCAGCAATATACTTTCTTAAATGATCATTTTCAAGAGTAAGAAGTCTCACTTGTTCCTGCAAGTGTGCTATTTCCAACATTGGATCCTTATTACGCGTTTGAGTCATTGCATTCCTTTGTTTACTGAAAGCAACAACGAAATAATTGTCACACGTAATAACTATGGTAAGAAAACCAATGAAAAGGTAAATGTAAAATTTATGTGGAAATAATATTTCAATATTTCACAAAAGTAACGTAAGATTGGTAAATTTTTCACCTCTTTGTTTTGCTCATGTTTGTAAATTTAAATAACTTTACAAATCGCTGAACTTGATCGTCAAACAATTTTCCAGTCGCAATTTATTCCGAGGTAGAAACTGGCGGTTGACAATACACCCGTATTTAAATTCAGACTGGTTGGTGGCGGAAGGAAAAAAGTTTTCCTGTTCTCTGTTTTCTCTGAAACAAAAACAAAGCACCGAACTTAAGTGTGAAATATTCGATCCATATATTACTCTGATTATACGTAAAACAGTTCATTTAAAATATACAAAACTTTGAAAAAGTTTTATATTGCGTTTCATTCAAATGATCACCGAAGATGGCGCACGTGTCACGTTCAAAATGTAAACAATAACAGTCACTTACAAACAAAGATTGAAAATAATTATGATATCGTTTCTGGTTCTTGAAACAATTACGAAGAACCAAAATAACTCACAACTATTCTTCAATATATCGGGTTCGGTTCCTGTTCTTCAGAACCAATACTAAAATCGGTTCGGAAACGGTCCTGTAACTGTTTTTTTCAAACCACAGGATATAAATATTCAAGACTGATTATAGCGTCCTCTTCTTAAGGAAGACGGCCATTCGAAGAACTAACTGAAGCAACAAGACCGATAAAGTGTCCGAATATAGATGGTATTTAGAACAGAATGTATTTCGGTTGCCTAACATTCAGGGGCTCTAGAACCGTTACCACGCCACTGCTTTTGGGAAGTTAGGGGATGAAATAACTTATTCATCGACCAACCCTTATACTCCTTATACTAATTATTTAATTTTAATTTCTGCTTCAGTCTCAAGCAATTTAGAAAATAATCTTCCCTTATTCCTACTTCTTCCCCTTCAATCGCCCTTGTTTAATTCATGGTTTGTAAATAAACACTCCGACCAGTAACGCGTGTTCTCTTAACACGTTAAGCGCCACGGAAATCTTAAGCGTTTTCCCGTAGAGTTTTTCTATTGTAGCAAGGAAAAGCAGGAACAATTATTAATTATTTGACGTTACAATGTTTGCACAACGCTATTATCAACACAATTACGTTATTAAACATTTTCATTTCACATCAGTTATCTTGCACGTTACGATTGTTTTCTAGTCATTCAGAAGCGTCAGTCACCGATGACTGACATGGCGCTTAACGTGTTAACTTCATCAGAGACGTTCTCGCGTCGTCGAGACGTTCTCGAATGAAACGAAAATAAAAAATTACGCTACGAGACGCTTCGATGGGAACGAGGACTCGATTCCTTGTTTCTTTCAGTCGGTTCGCGGCGGCATGATTAGATAAGCGGTCGGTTCATAGTGCGCCCGAGATGCAGAGAGCATAAGAGACCAGGAGGCTCGTGGACCGACCTCAGTTAAAGCCGTTAGTGCATACTGGCGAACTCGATTGGCGAACCGCGAGCATCGCTTCCTCTACCAAAAGACGCGGCGAACCATCTCGCGAGAGACTCGCGTACACGCGCGCGCCTCGAAGGAAACAGTTGCGCGTTCGACGGTAAATCGGTTCAGCGCACGGGAGTTCTTTCTGAGATCAGCTGCCGCGAATCCCGGGGCGAGATATGAATCCGTCTTCGAGGAGGAAATCGTGTCAGCAGACATATTCGGATTAATTCTAACTCATCAGACCAGAGGATCGGACCGTGAAGGATTTCTCCGGTGAACAGGCGACTGGAAATCGAACGATGCCAGCCTGCAGGAGCGAGAACCCGTCGAGAGTGTGGTCCTCGAGTCCGCCGATCTCGAGGAGCAGCAGCGTGTCTCCGCTCATACCCAGCTCGCCGCTGTCGACGTCGCCGCCCCTGGTGTCGCCGATATCCACCCTGAAGAGCTCGACGTCGAACGCTTCGAACTCGTCGAAGATATACCATGTTCCTACATTGACGAACACCTCGAGGACTCCCGCCGTGATCGTTTCACCGAGGCGTCAGCAACAACAGCAGCAGCAGCATCTACAACAGGGGACGCAACTGAATTTCCAGCCGCTACCGACACAAGGTCAAAACCACAACCGGAACGAGCCGTTGCTGTTGAGGATACTGACCGCGTATTTCGGACTGCTGCTGGGGATCTTCCGAGGAATCGTCAGCGTGATCAGCTACGCGATCCGGGCGCCGGCGCTCTGGGTGTCGGTCTGGGTTTACATGATATGGCTGATTTTCCAGCTGCCGTTGACCGCCCTCAAGTGGTTCATCACCGTCCTCCACACGCCGGCGTTGGAGCGAGTGCGCAGCAAACGGTGCGTCTTGATCAGCGGCGGTAGCACCGTGCAATCCGTGCACCTGGCTCGCAACTTCTACAAGGCCGGCGCCAGGGTGGTGATCTGCGAGCTGGAGGGTCTGTTCGGGCTGGCGAAGTTCTCCACCGCGTGCTCCAAGTTCTACACGATCCCGAAGCCCAGTCCAGGGAACGCCGCCGAGTATGTAAAAGCCCTGAAGGACATCGTTCACAAGGAGAAAGCTGCGTACTACATACCGGTCAGCGCCAGCAACACGGCCTACTACGACGCTCTGACTAAGCCCTACCTGGAGGTGATGGGCTGCGAGTGTTTCGTGCCCAGTGCGGGCGAGGTCGCCGTCCTCGACGACCCCATGGAGATGCTGCGAAGATGCTGCTCGCTGGCCCTGCCCACGCCCTATCATTGCATCCTGCGTTCCTCGGAGGACGTCTCGCGGTTCTACGAGCAGAACACGGTAACCACCGGCAGGTACCTGTTGCTGGCCGCGGGTCCAGCAGGGATGATAGACAGGACGAAGATAGCACTGCCGCCGACGATCAGGGAGTTCCGGAACCAGCAGCACGAGGTCAGCGACAGCAAACCGTGGCTGGTGATCCGCGACCCGAGCGGCAAGCATTACATCACCTGCACCACGGTGAAGGAGTCGAGGGTCGTGTCGAACGTGACCTGCCTGATCGACGGGCGAGGCTTGATCCCCGAGGAGCGGTCGGAAGTGACGCAGTGGCTGGACAGATTCATCGGCGGGCTGTTCTGGAGGATCAACGGACACTTGAGCTTCAGGTTAGCGGTCACGGAGGATGGAGAGTTGGTGCCGATCGGCTGCCACGTGGGCGTCAGTCTGCCTTACATCTGTCACACGGGAGTCCATCCTCGGCTCGTCTGGAAACCGTGCAGACACTTTTCCAGACAAAACTCCGGGATCCTGAGCGCAACGGACAGGAACCAGCCAGCCGACGCTACCACCTGTGCCTCGAAGCTGCCTGCCGGGGATACCTTCCCTCATCTGTTGGGCACCTTGCTGAACAAACGGGATGCTCTGTTCACGTACTGGGACCCGCTGCCCTACTGCATCTACTACCATCTGCAGCTGCCGTTCAGACGGCTGGCGGGCATGATCAGGCCGCAGCAACACAACCCTCCGTTGGCGGTAGTGCAATAGCGTGTAACCTATGAATACATCAGAATTATCCTCGAGAATTCGCTAATGAAAGCTGTTTTGAACAGAGTCGGAGGAGGGTAAAGAACGGATACTCGAAGGAGGGACGCGCGTGTAGGTGATCCTCGCGCAGACGGTCTTCTCAGTATTCGCGGACGCCCCGGTCGAAAGGGTCCCCACGAGAGAACACGCCTCGGCGATGGAAACGGCGATCCGGCTAGCAAAGGTCAAGTTCAGATCGAGCTTCGGATGAGAAGCGGCCGAGCGAGAATCGAGCTGGGACGGAGGGCACACGCTCGAATCACGTGCCGCGCCGGCCATGTAGTTTTTTCTGCGCGGCAAGATAATTGACGCGTGGTTCCTATCTTCGGGCCGGCACGAGAGGAAGCTGAAACGTTCGAGAGCTTTCGAGCCCGTACAACTTGTATCGCGTATCGGCGAGTGTAAATAGTGGTGCGAACAATCGGCCCAATAACACTGGCGCGCTCGTCCGTCCGTGCACGATTTCTCTTCCGCTAAGACTCCTGCTCTCCTTTTTCTTGTTTTCCCGTTTGAGACGGTCGACTTTGAACTCGCTAGATAAATAACGCGACGCGCACAGACGCTCGGAGAATGACTTTACGGATCTGATATTTAGAACTGTCCGCGCCTCGACACGCCGTGTCCGGGGAATGGTAAATAACGTCCAACTTTAGGATGCTCGGTCGGAAGGTCGAGCATCCCCTGGTATACGGTTTCTGAATCTCGCGAGTCTCGCGGGACACTTGTATCTATAGTATTTCGTATTTCATAAGTTAACAGGCAATAAGGTTCCGTGTACATACGCGTGCAGATGCCATACAGTCTGCAAGTCAATAAAACGTAATCTGTTTTTCTAATGCCAGTGTTTTCTTTTCCCCCACTCTCCACCGTGCCAGATTCCCCTCGTACATTCTTAGTTCTATTGGCGAGTGCTGATTAAGAATTGACAATTGACATGTTTCGCAACGTTAGAACAGAGTCAGAAATCTTGTCTACTTTAACGATGTTGATACACACGCTTCTCTAAGAAATTCTTCGGCTGTGTTCACTAGTTTCTGTAACTTGCGAACGACAGTTGACTTTGACACCGCATTCCCGCTGAAATGCAGTTGGAAGCGAAGATCGCGAATTTCGGAGGGAGGAGGATCGATCGACGCGCTCGAGCGTCGGACACCTCGCCAATGAGAAATAGTTCGGAGAGGGCGAGCGCACGGACGAGCCTAATCGGATCTGTTCGATTGTGCGCGTGAAACCGTAAATAATGTTGCTTATAGATGAAAGGATGACCCGGGGGGCAGCAGAGCTTGACGGACTTTGAGAGGCCGGGGTCGCCGGTTCGAGAGACGCCGTCAGCGTTATCGGCGATCTGCTTTCCTCCTTTCCTCTCCGGCGATCGCTCGCCTCTTCCTTCTCGGCGAATCTTTATCGCCGTCGACCGTTGTCAGCTGGCTGGACCAACGTGTCTGCACCGACGTCGCTGATCTCTGCTCGTCTTCTGTCTCTTCTTTATCTTCGCCGCTGAACCGGCATCACTGAAAACAGAAATAATTGTAAGAACCAGGTACCGGTTCGCTCTCCCGAACGAATACGATCGGTCTCGATCGCGACGAGGCTTCCAAGCTTAACTCATTTTGTCCTGCGAGCAATTTGTTTCGAGTTCCTCGTTGAAAATATCTTCGACGAGTAATTAAGTTTTTCGAAAATATATTTACTAGACAAATGTTCAGTAATATTTTCGAGAAGCTTAAATACATTATGAAACAAGTGTACTACAAAATGTGCAAACTGCATTATAAAAATTGAATGTACCTAAGACAAGATAATTCTCATATACTCAGAAATAAATTTAATCAATGAAACTACAGAGACTAATAAATTCCTTTCGGAATTGCGGTTTGATTCATCGATGGATAATGAAGATGATTCGATCCATATATTAAGAGATAGTTTAGCATCCTCTTTACGACATTTTCATAATGCAGTATAATGCGGCACAACTGATATCTCAATAATCGAATGAAACGAGATTCGAGAAGGATCTCAGCGAGGTTTCGTGATAGAATGGAATCGTCTAGACGCAACAGTGAGGAGAACGATCGACGGGGATCGTAAATATCGGCGATTCATCGGACGATAGGTAAAACACGAGCCACTTTTCGCTATGAAGAGGCAGCCAGCAGCACGCAGAGATCCGAAGACGCAGGAGCGAAGTGTGTAACGCAATCTTAACATGCGATAATATTGAAATGCAGTTCCTTGGCGACCGCCGCTGAAATAAATCGATACGCGGACAGTTCTATTTCGTCTCTCCTTTTTTTCCCTTTGCTCTCGTTTCATCCGATGAAAGCACGCGAGAGGAATTATTGTTCCTCCGCCAGGAATCGTTTAAACTTCGCTGACGTTCCTTGGACTCGACGGTGGCGGCCTGTTGTCTTTCGTTTGACCGAGGAACGAGCTAATAACGCGGAACGGAGGAACATCTGCCACCCGATGATTAACTTGGATGTTCAACTCCTATTCGTGACGATCCAAGCTTTTTCGGGTAATAAGCTAACGATACAGTGTGGAATTAAGAGATAACCGACCTATCCACGTCGTTTGTATCGTTCCACGGGAAACAACGCGGTGAGCAATTATGCAATTACGCTACTTAGAACCTGAAGGACCTCTAGGTCTCCAACTTTAGGATAGAGTAAATCGATGGAAACTCCAACGGTGCTACTATTGAGATTCCTATTGATTTACAATTCAGTTTGCCTACTGGTAAATCGATTTCTGTAGTAATTTCTCAGAGAATTATCCGTTATCTTTTTAATAATTGTTAAAGAAGCAATCAGGAAGAGGGCAGTTTGACCTCTCTGGTAGTTCCAGCGTTAAAATTTGCGCTGTCAGACTGGTGATTTCGTTTCATCGACCCTCGTTATCCAAGGATAACATGCGAGATTATTGTGAAGTACTAAATGTACTTCATATTTCATCGACTGTCAAATACTTCGAAAAAATCCACCGCGCGACACCGACTTCACGGAACTTTGCAATACCGATAAACATTTGTTTACGATGGGCCGGCTTGCACCGGGCCGATTTACAAAATAATATAATCACGACAATATTTGTTACCGGATATCCACTGATTAAAAGTCAGAGGAACATACGACTCGCGTAATCTGCTCAAATAAACAATCCAGTATTTTACTATTTCATTGAAACAGCAGTTAAATTATACATAGGATAATTCCAGGAGAAACGGCCATATTTCTTTCGCAACGCATTTAAATAAAACCTAAAGGAATTAGAACAAATTCGATTCCTAAATAGGCTTCAATTACTTTCCCACAAGATAATAAGAATTAGAATCACAATTGAGAACCACCAATTGCAGTTGTAATTGGATAATCTCCTCTGGAATTACCCTGTGGCGAAAAGAACAGCCAATGATGATTCTAACTCAACAGCTCGTTCGTTCTTTCTGGTTCAGTCGTTCTCCAAGCGGAGAAAGCTGTCGAAAATCGTTCCGTTGCGGTCGCGTTCGAGCGAGTGAGCGCCAGTAAAGGGAACCGTAAAGGCTCTTAACTGGATTCGTCCACGAGTAACAAGAAGGAAAGTCATTTTCTTGGGCGGCTTGTGCCACGTGGTTCCAGGCACGGCCACTGTGAGAACAGATTCACCTGACTGGCATACCGATGGTCTGTGTACGCCGCCGCTGTGCCGCACAGCTTACACCTCGCCGGCAATTTGCCTGCGGCGAGAACGTTTAACGCATCGACACACGATCCTTACGCGGGAACTGCGCCTCAATTAACGCCAATCTGCTATCGTTATTCTTTTCCCCGTCCCACGGTGAAAACATTACATCATTCACTGATAGAAGCGACGACACACGTACGGCGGATGACTTAACGCCAACCATGGAGGTGACCAGCTGAAATTGCAGCTACGGATCGTCAGCCTGTACAGTGATCGAAATCGCTTTGCAATATCTGAAATCAGAGAGTTGAATTCGATTTGATGTGGGAATAATTGAATTAAATGTTTCCTCGATACTCACCGAAGGTCAATCGACGGGCTGAAAGAAGAATTTTGTAATCAAATTTCACTTTCCTGCGTTGCTATCATATCAATGGAATTTATATAGAGAAGTTTCTGTTGAACTATCAGTTTTGTAGATTGTTCATGCAAACTTTTGTTTGTACGAGATAAGCTTGTGCAGCTTAGTTCCTTCAGTGCAGAGCATTGGATTTTTGGTTAATTGGAGAATCTATATCCGAATTTCACGCGGAGAAATTATCGGATACAGAATCCCGTTCGCCATTATGGAACGTTCACTTCAGATCAATATTTACAGAGTTATCGTGCGGTATCGGGGAGAGCGTGACCGTGGATTCTTATGTGGCGATTGAATGAATAATAAACGGTCAGGTTGTTTTGACAAGTGTAACGATATCGTGCGCGAGTTCCCCCAATCTTAAGGTCGCTTCGCGGAGCGAGTCGGGTTTGTTGCTTGAACCCTTCGCGGATTTCTCAAAGTATCCAGAACTTTTAGAGGCGGCTGTATTATACATTTAACTTTGGAGAGGAAATGAAAGCTATGGTTCGATCTTCTGTTACTCGAAGAATTCGATTGTTCCTTCGTCATTGAAATGACATTCGTTTTCAAAGGCTTGAAGATAATCGAGGAAATTCACTGCGTGCATCCGCGTCTCCCTATCGCACGGTTGTTCCACTTGAAGCGCGCAGCGCCGTTAGTTCGCGATCATCGGAGACCGAACGTTGCTCCACGCGGTCGATTCGATCTACTTGAGCGATCGCTTGGACTCTGGACAAATGTTTGCGGTGTTTAAACGCGGTTAAATTGAACAAATTTGACGTTTCTTTGTAGTTGAAGCTTCTACTCCCATTTTCCAGGTGAATTATCCTCACCGTAAAGATCTATATTATCTTACCTCATTATTAACTGAACGTGATATTACAATATCTATTATTTTACCTTACTACCGTCTAACGAAATATTATCATATTGACATTACTGTTGTATGTAATAATAATGATCTATAACTAACAGAACTACCGGACATCTTGGATTTCTTACGCAATTTTTCAGAAGACACAAGCTTTTCTCAGAAATTCCGTTCAATTTCAAATCGTCTCATTCAATTGAGATCTCAATAAACACATTTCTGTAATTTGCGCAAGAAAATAAGTATTATACAATGCTATTGCTAGGTAGTTTTGGCGTTGAAGCGAATTCTCCGGGCTTCGAAATCGCGAACACCGAAAATTATCGACGGTTCGAGGTTCGCGGGGGTTCGGTTTCCGTGTTTCTCTCGCGTACGTATTCCGTTGCGCGGCGAACGCGCGAACAAAATAAAAGAAAGACTGTCGGATGCACGATACCGGCCGGCCTGTTGTATCTAATCTCGGCGACGCTGAAGAAGCGTCCATCGCGAGCGCAACAAGAGTAAATAATGTACCAGAAGGGGGAACTTTCGGTGTATCGATGACGGTCGGCTATTAATACTGTCCGGCTGTTGGTGCCACACGCAGCACCAACCTCCTTCGATAATAACAAAACCGTGTTTTCCATCTGTTCGCCGGATCGCCGCCGATTCCGAACAATCGGCGAGGCACGATTGCCGCGTCGCGTCGCGTCGGCCGGTCACGCGGTCGGTTCCGCTTCCATTTCGTCGCTCGACGTACGGCTGCCCGCGCATTTCTTTTTCTCCTTTCTCTCCTTCTCTCGTCGGACACCGCGAAATCTCGGTGGGAACGTCGACTCGACCGGTGGAAGGAGGATGGTCCTGTTCGCGGTGTTCCTCGCGTTCAACGCTCTCGCCGCGACTGCCGAGAGAGCGGACCAGTGCCGGTGGAGGACAGATGAGCAGCTTATCTGGGAATACGACGTCAGAAGATCGTACAGGATCGGCGGGTACCAAGTGCGTGCGATTATGAACTCCCATTTACTCGGAACGAACTTGAACTTAGCTTCGGTGG